TTTTACCAAATTTGAACCACATGCTCCTCAATCATAGTAGAATACGTGTATTTTCAATTCCTCTTTTTTATAACAAATTTTTTATTTTTCAGTTTAGTATTTAAATCTTTCATAGTCTCCTTATTTCTTCAATTTGTCATTTATTTTAAGCCCCTTTTTTTTACTAAATTTGAGCCACATCATCCTAAACCATAGTAGAATACACGTGTACTTTCAATTCCTCTTTTTGATAATATATTTTTTATTTTTCAATTTAGTCCTTCAATTTTTCATAATCTCCTTATTCCTTCATTTTTTGATTTATTTTAAGTCACTCTTTTTACCAAATTTAAACCACATACTCATATACCACAATAGAATAACTATGTAACTTTAATTATTATTATTTTAACAAAAGATATACTATCATTTTTACTTAGTCCCTAAACTTTGCATTTTACTCAATTTGGTCTTTTAACTACAATTGTTTGCAAATTCTTTCTTCTTATCAATTCCTTGACTCATTTATACTCTCATGAATATTTTACCCTCAAAATACTTTCTTTAAAATTTAATATTATGAATATTTTTCATAATTTTAGATTGTATTTGATATATTAAATAACATTATAATATGAAAGAATAATATATATGTATATATATACTATGGTTAGATAAAGTCAAAAAAATTAGAACAAATAATTGCCATAATACTATAAATAATTATAATAAAATTAGTACAAAAACTTGAATAACTTGACTCAAATTTCTCAAACTCGATTCGACTCGAAAAAATTTCAAGTTAAGTTCTAGTTGTAAAATACGACTCGTCAACTCGAATAACTCAAAAATTTTTTACTCGACTCGATCGAATGGTCACCCCTACTTATGTGTCACAATAAAATAATATCACGTCATCACAATTTTTTTTAAATATCGTGTTAGTAATTCTATTGACTTTTTAACGGCTGATGAACTAAATGAAATAAAAATGTAATGTTAGACATGATTTTGAAAAAATAATAATAATTGGATGACCAAAATAAGATAAAAGATATAATTAAACATGTAGTTTACCCTAACTTTAAATTCAGGTGACGACAATTACAGGGCAACATGGAGATCAAGTTTCAAAGCTATTCAATCTTGCATTATTCCAATATTTATTTCATTTATATATTGTTTTGTTAATTTCAAGAGCCTAAGTGCTTTTTTTTTGTCAAGTCAGTTTTTGTTCTCAAAATTTACATTATATGTAAGTTGTATTTTTTATTTTAATTACATTAAATTTTATATTTTTAAAATCTTATTTTTTTAATATTGATTCGAATAAGATATGTGGAATATAATTAAATTAAGAAGATTTAAAATATCAAATTTTATATATTCAAAATATTGAATATAAAAAATTTTATATTTTAGACTTTATTTTTATATTTCAAATGAAATCAAATTATAAATTAATTTTTTTCGTGAGCTTCTTCAACGTTGAAATATAACTTTTCTTAGATATGTTATTTTTAAAAAAACATAAATTATATATATATATATATATATATGATAAATAGGCCATTTAATTATTTTTTCAATAGATTTTTGTTAAAGTAATTCAAATTAATTGGAATATTAAAAAGGGTAAATTAAAATTTCATCACTGAACTTTACTCTCTCTCCTATTTTGCTCATTGAACTTTAAAAGTTTTCAATTTCCTCACTAAACCTAATACATTACGTTTTTTTGTCATTGAATTTTACTCTCTCCTATTTTGGTCACTTCACCGTTAAATAGTAAACAACGTTAAAACAATGTCGTTTAAAAAAATCACCAAAACGACGTTGTTTCACATATATATAATTGCCCATTTTAACGCCGTTAACTATTTAAGGCCAAGTGACCAAAAATATCCAATCTATTAAGTTTTGTGAGGAAATCGAAAAGATTCAAAGTACAATGAATGAAATAGGATATATAATAAAGTTCAGTTACCAATTTTGTAATTTACCTGTTAATCTTGGCCCTTGTTTCCACTCGGGCAAAACTTTAATCTCGGGAAATAATTTTCTCACATTATTCTGGCATTTTTACCCATAAAAGTTACTAGTTAGTGGTATTAAAATACTTTTAGCCTTTAGGTCATAAAATCACAAAAATTCATAAAATATAGTGATTCATTAAATATTAATTATATATTTATACTCGTTTTATTCATATACCTAAACTGGGTTCAAATGACATGAATAAAAAGTACAACACTTTTCACTTAATCCGATTAGAGTATTTTTAATATTATGCCATAAAAATACGAGGGTAAAGTACATAAATGATCTCGTTGATTAGTTGAGTTATTGATTATTAAAAGTTATAAAATAATCTCCCGTTTATAGAGTTCTGCTTTGTTGAGCCTCTCGACTATTAAAAGTTATAAAATAGTTAACAAATCATTCATATATTCTAAACTCGTTTTTTCCATTAAAAATTTGACGATCGTCTAACATAGACGCTAAAAATTTGGGTAAATTACAAGTTTGGTAGCTGAACTTTACTCTCTCTTATTTCACTCATTGCACTTTCAATTTTTTCAATTTTTTCACTGATTAAGATTGAATTTTTTGTTATTCAGCAGTTAAATAATTAAACGAAGTTAAGACGTGATAACTTACATAAAAAATGATGTTATTTTGAATTCCTAAAAAAATAAATTTTAGACTTAAATGACGTCGTTTGGATTAAAATACGGCCATGTTAGAACGACGTTAATTATTTAATGGCGGAGAGAAAAAATCAATCCATAAAATTCAGTGAGTAAATTAAAAAAAGTGAAAGTACGGTGAGTGAAATAGGAGAAACTAAAATTTAGTTACCGAACAGGTAGTTTACCCTATTTATTTTCGTGTCATTTGGGTTTGATTCAACGGTCACTATGTTTAACCCACTCAATATCTTAATACATTAATTGAAATCACAAGGCATGTCATGGTGGTAGCTCTCCTTATTTATTAGACCTTAATCACGTGATGGGGACTTGATCTTCACTTACGAATATGGAACATATTTAGTAGTTTTTAATTTATTTCTTTAGAATTTATTTAACGAACTTAGCGATAATGAATTGTTCTCTTTAAATATTTCGAGTTTAAGTAATCGTGCTTGTAGATTTTGTGTATTGTCCATGATTAAAAATAATTCTGAACATATACTACCTTATAATCATTTAAACTATTGAAAAGATAATTTATTTCCTACTAAAATATTTGTGACAAATTAATTAATTATTACTATCTACTATTACTATTCAATTTTAACATAAAAATATAATCAAAATACTTTAATTATTAGGTTTAGAAGCTTTATATATAAAAAAAACTTAGTTTTCTCTAGTTGGTGTGTCGTTTATCTTTTTTTTTGTTTTTGTTAATTGGCAGCGACATTAACTTTAATGATAATTGTCGACCGTCGGTATTTTTTATTTTCTTTTTATTTTCTATATCATATTTTTATTTTCTTTTGTTTTTTGATTTTTTAAAAAGTTTGTTTTGTTGCATGTTTTCATATACTTTTATGACAAGTTTTCTTATGTTTTTTGTATGTTTTTCGGTTATTTGGTTGTTTTTTCATTTATCTTTTTTCTAAGGGTTGATTTGACATCGTCACGACTGATCAATATGTCACTTATATGATATCTTGTTGATATTCCATGCTTTAGACCCTTGAATTGGATTTGGATACCTGATTTGCATTCGTGGGTAGCTTTTTTACGTAACTCGAGCCTGATTTGTGGTTGTTCGATGGTTTTTTTGTGGTCTTTTAATAACTTAATCTCCTTTTGTGGTTCGTTTGTCGATGAGATCAGATCTGTTTGTATCTATATTTGTTCGAGTTTCTTAGTTAGATTCTTAATCTTTCATTGTCTGGCCCTTATGTGATCATAAGTTGCTAGTTTTATTTCAATAATTATAGAAAATTTTCTTAATTGTGTGTTTAATTTACGATTATGATAATAAATCTTTATTGTAATTTGAGATATTTCTTATTTTAAATAAAATTATTCGCTTATGTGAAAAAGTAATAATAATAAATAGTTTTCAAACACACCAAATGCAATAAATGGTGCAAAGAAAAAATCTAGAAAGAAATACCCGCGACCGGCAAAGCCATTAGGCCCGTTCTCTTGTAACGTTTGATGATCTGATCAATGCATTCACAAATGACCTATTGACCATCAAAATCGCCAGTTTTATAAGGTCAAATTCTAAAAAAACTCCATGTATTATGAGTTTTTGATCGATTTAGTCCCTTTATTATAATTTGATATTTTTAAATCGTATATTTTTATTTCCAAATAATTTTTCGGTAAATCCATCAAATAAGTCGCGCAATTTTTTTAACAGGATACTATGTAAACACATTTAATAGGTAGAAGGTTCAGTCAAATTTTTTAATAATTGTATGAATTTTCAATACGATTTTCCAATTTTGATTATTTTAATGAGTTATTAAATTTTAAAATCGACGTTGGAAAAAAAATACAAGAACCAGATCATAAAAAGTTATTGAGTTTAAGGACCCAATTGGTTTATTATCCCAAAAAGAGAAGTCAAATTAATAATGTGAAGGTTGAATTTCTACTTTGGTTTTTAGACTTTCAACTTTGAAAAAGTCTAATTATTTTTATTCTATAGAATAGGTATTTTAACTCTATTAATAAGTTAATGAAAGGTAATATCCGTTATAAGTACTCACAATTATTTGATAATAAACATTCAATTATTTTTATAATCGTTTGATGTTCAAATTCATACTCTCAAAAAATAATAACGATTTCTTTAATCACTAAAGTAATTTGATTCCCGTAACTTAATACATTTTTTTATTAAAAATAGTATAGAAAATAAAATAATGAAAATATTGACATGTTAAACAATTAGACCGACCATTTCAACGAATTCGGGTTTAGAAATAAACCGGTCCAGCAGGATTGATTATATATACAAAATTAATTATCTTTTCGTCCCCATTTTCTTCCTCTCTTTTCTTACAAAATTTTCATCTCGGAGGGAAAAAATCTTACCGTTTCTTTGTTGGTAAGAAAAATTGAAGGATCCAATTCACCGCGCCGACCCGATTAGGCTCCGGAAGGGACACCTGATTTTGTAAGTTCGCCGGATTCCTCACGCATTCGATTGAGTATTTGCAAAAGTAACCTTTTGGGGGGAACCCTAAACCAGTCCATTTCTAGGGATGTTGTTGCATTTTCCCATGCATTTAATTCATTGATGATTGAAATATTACTTTGAGGTTAAGTTTTGTTTTTGTTTTATATTTTTGAAGTATGTGCGATTGCAAATGCTGTGTAGGGTTCTTGAAGCACCAAGGAATTGCTGCGTTTAAATATTTATTTTCATTTCGGAGGAGAATTTAGGGTTAGGGTTTAAGATTTGGTATATTGTTTTTCTAAAGAGGAGATTGGAGGGTTGGGGGGTTTGACTTTTGGGTTGATTATATAGACTGGGAAGATAGAGGGGGGGGGGGTTAGAGGATAATGTGTATACTGTGTGTGATTCAGAAGTGGTCTCGCCGGGTTGCTACCATGCTGCCTTGGTTAGTTACACCTCTCCTATGTTTATGGGCTCTTTCTCAGCTTTTGCCACCTGCTTTTCGATTTGAGATTACGTCCCCCAGGCTGGCTTGTGTGTTTGTTCTTTTGGTTACCCTTTTTTGGAATGAGATTTTGACGCCTCAGCTCTCTGCTTGGCGGGATCGAAGGAATCGACGTCTCCAGGAGTGCAAGAGGTTTGAGGCTATAGAGTTGCAGAAGCTTTGTAAGACTGCGACACGAAGGTGTCGGAACTGCCTGACTCCATATAGGGATCAGAAACCCGTTGGTGGTCGGTTTATGTGCTCTTATTGTGGTCATATATCAAAGAGACCTGTTTTAGACTTGCCTATTCCACCTGGTATGAGGATTTCAAATTCTGGGATTTTTAAAGATCTTGTTGGAAAAGGCTGGAAAATCTTGAATGGAAAGGGGTGGTCTGAAAATGTGTGGACGTGTGGACAGGATTGGTTGGAGAATGGCAACTGGGTTGCTGGGTCTGTTTCAGGGAAGCCTAGCTATTGGCGGAGGAATGGCACTAGAGTTTTTGGTGGAGATGAGGATTGTTTGGCAGAGAAGTCTTATTCAGGCATTGTTATTTTTGCATGTAAGCTGTTGACGTCCCTCTTCTTGAGCGTTAGGTGGCTTTTGAGAAAGTTTTTTAGGGTTAGTTCATCGAGGGATGATGCTTCATCTGATTCAGAACATCGGGGGATGTTGACTAACAAGGGTGAGAATGGGACAACCTTCCAAGAGAGCAGGGGAGAGAAAGCACGTCGCAAAGTTGAAGAAAAGAGACAGGCTAGGTTAGAAAAGGAGCTTTTAGAAGAAGAAGAGAGAAAGCAAAGAGAGGAGGTTGCAAGATTGGTGGAGGAACAAAGGAAACTGAGGGATGAAAAACTGGAGACTGAAAAAAATTGCAGCAAATTGTCTACACGTTCTAGGGAGAAAGAGATGAAAAAGGAAGCTGAAAAGAAGCGTCAAGATAGAAGGAAAGAGAAAGATAAGACATCTAGTAAGAGTAATTCTGATGTTGAAGAGCTTGAGAAGAGAACTAGTACGGAAACTGAACAGAAGCGTGGCATTGATAAGAAGAGTGAGATAGATCACCGGGAACATCAGAAGTCTTGGCTGGATAATGTCAAAGCTAGTACTCTAGAAACAGGACATGGCCTGAAATATACTTCTTCAAATAACGTTAGCCGACTAAATTCTGGAACTAGATACTTTGATCGTGTGAGGGGTACATTTTTCTCATCGTCTAAGGCTTTTAGTGGAAGTAGTTTCTTTGGAAAGAGTGGTAATACACCTGCTACTATTACAAAGGAAAACAAAACTACCAATTCTGTTGACCATGCAAATACTTCTGCCCATAGGAGAGCTTTTTGTACATCTGAGCATGTAGCTGGGAAGTCGAGTATCAATGGAGATGATAAGAATGCTAAAATCAGCCACCCGGTAAGTTTTTTTATTCTGTTTGTTGAGTTCATTGGTTTTGTAAATTAGTTGCAACTAGTATAAATTACTATTGCTATTATGAGCGGGATGGTCAATTACTTGCAACTAGTATAAATTGCTATTGCTATTAAGTGGCACCTTCCAGCTATAAACTACTATTGCTATTAATAGCAGGCACCAGCCAGTTTCAGTGCTAAATGAATTTTTTTCTTGCTTTCCTTGTTAGTCACATATTTTAATTGAATTTATGCCTTAAATTCCCCCCTTTTTTCCAGATGAGCATTTTCCAATTCTATAGGATTGGGTGTTCTTTTGAGGTTTTGCACTTTGGTGCATTATAGCATTTTATCTTGAAGATGACTGTGTTACAATGTTGGGCTGTTCACTGCAGGTGCTTTCAGAACCCCAACCTAGAGCAGCGCCGAAAAAATCTTGGCAACAGTTATTCACTAATTCAAGTGAAAATGTTATTAACAGACCAAATTCAAAGATTCAAGCAGAAGATAGCCCACCATTTCCTGGTCATTCGTCAACAATGCAAACCTTTGATAGTCCTATAAATATTACACTGCCATCACCATTTATTTCTACATACCAAAATGGAGTCCCCAGCAGTAGTGTAGGTTTCTCTGCTACTGGATCCGCTTTTTCTCATGCTTCTGAAGGGCTTCACGAAATTATTCCAGAAGAACTGGAGCTTTTTGAAGACCCCTGTTATGTCACTGATCCTGTATCCTTGCTTGGGCCTGTTTCAGAGTTGCTTGATAATTTTCAGCTGGACTTGGGTGCTGGCTATGGAAGGGATATCAGTATGGGTATGGAAAGGCCTCGAACTTTGAATAATATATCCGCTTCTTCTGAAATTAACAAGCCCTCACCTATTGAGTGCCCATTGTCAAGATTACGGTCTGTTGATGAAGGGCATAACAGTTCTAATAGGTTCCCGACTACCCCAAAGGCCCAAAATCTTCGCTTTTTCCCTGGGGATGTTACAAATGCAAATGATAAGGGGACATGGAAGATGTGGAATAGTTCTCCTCTTGAGGATGGTCTTGGTTTGGTGGGTGGTCCTGCAAGGTGGCTTTTACCCTTGGAGCATAATGTATCAAATAAAGAAAACTTTTCACACCCTTCCATGCAAACAACTACATCATTGTTCACGAAAGAGGACCCTTTATTGGCAGCCACACAAACTCAGCAGGTTTTTATTGGCAATGGCCAGCATGGCGGGGCATTCAATCCTGTAAAAGGTCCAAGTGGTCATGATCCATGGTTTCAGAATGCTTTCTTTCCACCATTCTCAGGCAGTGATAACCATTTTCCTATCAAGGTTCAGGAGGATGTGAGTGAAAGGAGTTATGGAAGTCTCAGTGGAGCTGCTTGTACACATCCATTCGAGCTTTCTCCTGTGAATTGTTGGCCCATGTGAGTGCATCTAACTTATATCCTGCCATTAGTTTCTAAGGTTTTACAGAGTTGTAGATGGAAAAGCAAAAACCTTGAATGTTGTCTATTTTCCTGCCAAGTTGGCTATTGTCAACTGTGTTTTGCAAGGACTCTTCATTGTTCTTGAAGCCCCCATATCCAACACTCATATTCGACATAGAGATATGGGGATATGACCTCCAAAGGTTCTTTAATTACATAATAAAATTTAGAAAAATCAAATCATTCCCATTTCAATTACATATATCCATGTGCATGCAAATTTTTGGTGGCGGTGTAAGGTAACAGGCAGAATTGTTTATTTTCAAGATTTTGAGCTATCATCTCAAGTAATTTCCAAATGCATGCATGCATAATTTTTTTAGTCATTAACGACGAACAAATCCTGCAGACACAGTTGCTTGAACTTGGGCTCTCTAGAGAGAACAACACTCTAATCACTGAGGCATCACTAAGACCCCTCAATGAGTTCATGCATGCATACATACACATGTTGGGGATAGGGCCATGTTTGCTTTTATAGATTCGCTTGGTTTATGATAATTTGTTTGTAAAATTTGTAAATGGCTGATGCTGAGGGCACTGCTTTTGGTTTTGGCAGGAAGGGATGGGGTATTAAGCAAGAAGGTTCAGGAGGAGGAGCTGTTGGGAACACTTCAATTGCAAGGCCATCCCCATCCCATGGAGGGGGTTTATTTCCCACCCCAGATGTACAGTCACTTTGGTGATCTTGGTTGAAATAATAGGTTCAATTTATTTATTTTAGTTAATATAGAAATACAGTATTCCCCAATTGGATTTTGTACCTTCTCTTCTTCCATGGTGAGGAGAGTATTAACGTTTTACTTACATTAGCTTACATAGGGAATACACGTGGGATTCATTCACTTTTAGGATCTGTATAATTTAAAATGAAGATTCTTTTACCCAAATTTGAATGAATTTTCAATTGAAAAACCCTAAATCCCAAGGACACATACAATCATTTATGGAACTGATAATGCTACTAAGGTTTCAAGGAAAAGATGCTATATTAATTTGATTTGACATGGAAAAAGCCCTTGAAGGGGCTGTACTGGGATGAGGACCCGGTGGTAGGGCTTTTGTAATCACGTTATTTACCAAAAAAAAAAGCCCTTGAATGGTAAACTACCCAAAAGAGGAGACAATGAAGAATGATAAGTCATTCTCATTTGTACCCTTCATTTAGACTTAACAGGGTAATTAAATTTAATAGAGAAGGTATTGGTATCTTCATCAAATCAGCAATGAATTCAAGCCAAGAGCTAAAGAGAAAAGTGTTTGAGAAAGGGTAATTTTCCCAGCCCCCAAGGATTTAAATGTCTCTCTCCGTCTTTGAAGTTAACTCCTCAATCCGATTGTTAATTTGATGATCAAAGGATGGATGACGAAAGCTAGGGTTTGGAAAGCAAATAAATGATATTTTATAACCATATGTAATTCATATATATTTTTTTCGTATTTTTTTAATATGTGATTTACATATACCAAACAAAGTTGAGGGACTCGATTTAAACTTTGACTTAAACTTGAAAATCAATTTTATTAATTATTGAAAATTTTGAGTTATTCGAGTTGTAAAATGCAACTCGTTTTGAACTTGAAATTCTTTTTAGAATCGAATTTATAAAATTACAATTCGAAACCAATTCGAGTCGAGTAAAAAAACCGATTTTCGAGTCGAGTTTTGTTCACCCCTGTTAAACACCATAAAGGAGAAAAAATTCGCAGCTTAGTTTTCTATATCGGACAAGTAAGATGAAATTAAGATCAAGAAAATGATTAATTTGTTTTACAATAAAAAATTCTCTTGCATTTGCTGTCGATATAATAAAATTCTTTTATGTTTAATTTTTTTAATGTAAATTTATGTTTTCTTGTTTGCATTTACTTATTTATTTCTCTCTATCTGAACAATAAAAAACCATTTTCTACCCAGACGAATCCCATATATATTATTTATATTTTTAATAATCATATTAGTGAAGCCAATAAGATGAAACGGCACCGTTCCAAAACTTGGTACAATTTAGTTGAAATCGGCTTTGAGGACCTGTACCAGTAGATGTGATCCAAAATCATCCTCTAGAAAAGAAGTGGAAACACTACCATACCAGAAACCTATAGTGTTATTAATTTCTTATTTTTCTTAAATTATTCGTGTCTGATGCTCGTATAGTCATATTTGATATATAAAACCTTTCGAATAGATAAAAGAATCGAACTAATCTTTATCGGGTACATACCAACACACAACCTCGCACCCGAGTCCGAATTAATCTAACATGTTGCTAAAAATTAATATCGAGTGGAAAAGATTTAAAATGATGATTGGGAGGGGGGGCACAAATGCAATCCCAGTCCCAAAGCTGTTCAATTGAATACAAGACTGAACTTGCAAAGTAATTTTATTCTAGAGCCATTTTGAATTGAAATCAGCATTCGATATTCAGTCATCTTCTTCCTCAGAATCAGCAGCATTATCGATGTTTAATCGTTCAATCAACTTAGCTTTCCTTTCCTCGTTTATCATCTTCTTCAACTTAAATCTGCAATACAAAACATGTACACGACACACATATATCAAGAACAGATATTCTTTAAAAGGAAGTGAAGAGTTCTGGGTGATAAAGTCATAAAGCGCGTAAAACTGACCTCTTGTGCTGCTTAGGAGGCTCCATTTTCGGACTCATTAGTGATTTGGTCGGCGCTTACAGCAGCATGGACTTTCTTGTACAAGAACTCGATTTTATCGGTCTCAAGTCCTTAATATACACTGAAGAAAGCTAAGGCCTATGTTCTCCACAAATTCATCCAGGAAGATACAGCAATTAAAACTCTCAAGGCTCATATCATTTGTTACACCAATAGATGTAAAATAGTCAATTTCTATACTAACATACCACACACACACACACACACACATATATATATATATATATATGAATAAGGAAGCAAGCACATCGGAAACAAAAAACCAATCTTCAAACCCATATTTCTCCTTGGTTAATGTCAAACTGCAGAAAGGCTAGCCCACTTCCCAAGTTCATAAGGATCAGCATAGTAATACAACTTGATTCTATTTGACAGAGACAAGCCTGCAGCAACTACAGGAGCTCTAAAACTAGCATCATCCTGCTCGGGCAGCTTGTCCGTAAATGCTGCAACATCTCCCAGAAGTTTGAAAGAGATTCTTCGAGTTTGTAATTGTCTAGGGAAATCGAAGTACAAAGCTGTTCCTGGTTTGGTCTCAGGCAATCTGTATTCTGCAATAGTCACCATGTTCGATCCTGTTCCTTCCTGTAATATTATTATTCTAGTAAGTTTCCCAGGAAATAATCAGTAGAGATAAAATCTAACACTGAATGACACACAAAGGTATAATTACAAAAAGTAGCCCAAACTGATGAATAGATATGAAACAGAAATCAGATGAAGTGGGACTGGGTTCTCGGTACCACAGCAAATGCCAAATAAATATGAACAAGAATAAGTAGCAGGCAACAACACCTCGTTAGTGTGTGTGCGGTAATCACCATTAATGCATAACAGTGATTTCTACTTTATTAATACTGTAGCCACTATCATTAACCAGGTATAATAAAGTATTTGACTCATAATGCAAACCTACAATCAGAATAGAAGAAGAATAGGGGCTACAATGTAGTATTAGCATTTTAGAACTCATTAAAAATATTATAACTCGGTGGATTCAGACACCAAGGAACATTTCCGGTATCCCATTTCACTAAAGTGTGCATTCCTCTAGAAAATGGAAGAGAATAATATAGGCTTACGAAAGTGAAAGGAGGTGTCAAACTGTCCCATCAAGGCGATAAAAGGGGGTAAAGCAAATTGTTTGTGCTTATCTGTCCTTATCTCTTCAAAAATCTGTTATTAAGGTTCAGTACTAATTTCATTATGTTGTTGCCCCATTGTAATTCTACCACCATAATTATCCTGGTTAAAATTAACAAGAGGTACATCAAAGGCAGGTCTAACAGATACCTGGAGTGCAGAAACTTGAATATAAAGAACAGCAGGAGAGATATATCTATCCTCTAAAAATACTGATGTATCCCACATATCTGCATCTGAAGATGGTGAGTGGGTAATTCGTAGTTTTATTGCATGGAAAGCATCCAGGCGGAATCCAGCAAGCAAGGGTGAAGACAGAGGCATATACTGCTCTAAGATTAGATCGTAATCCATTAGCCTCTCTGCCTCAATTGGAACCTGAAAGCGAACCGGGGTTAACTGAGGCAATGCACACACAGAATGAACATGGAGCAAAATGCTTGAACAATGCATAAACAGTGCATCAAAGCATAACTATTACCTTGAATCTATTTAATTGTGGAGTTCTGTCCAGCCAGTTTCTCTGCTCATAGCTTTTTGACGATGTAAGCTCCATCTCTTTTTTCACAGGGCATCCAGCTATCACAATTCGTTTGGCATGAAGGCATGGATTACTTTCAATTGGTCCTCCAAAAGAGGCCCGTCGAGTTTCTGCAAAGGGATTTTCGTTTTCGTCCAGAGAAAATAAACTGAAGTCTTTACCAAAATTTACAGAGCTTGAACCAGGCCGCTGAAGGCGCAGTGTTATCCAAACAATGCGACATCGGACGGGATTTTTGAAAGTAAATTTTATATGACGAGGCAACTTATCTTCTCTGGTTGACTTTTCAGGTCCATAAAATTCTGGCGATGAGGATATCAGGGACTGGACATCCCATTTTCCAACACAGCACTTTTCTTCCCCGTCTATTTTATTGCTTACCCAGATTTGCACCTGTGCCATAACAGGAGAAACATTTTAGAAAAATAATAACATTGAGAAAAGTTAAAAGACTACCTTTTTTGGCAGAAATGAAACCTGAAATAAAATTGCCGTACATTCTCTCTATGTAACTAGGAATATACACTAATTGCGATATGGGAGAGATGCAAAATTGCGATATCAACATGAAGTTGATTCTAAGAACAACACACGCATAAGTTCACTGACACTGATAGGCCTTGCCAATTTACTTTAACAAGATAAAATTAAGCAGGAAAATGGGTATACTTACAATGGGAGTATCAGCTTCAGAATAACCACATGGACTAACAAGCAATATGACTCCACTGACATCTGAAAGTGTGCCAAGAACAATAACAAATTCAACAGAGGTAGTATCACGGGGAGCCTTCCAATATGAATGCTGTGATCCAGAACAAAGTGGAGTGAGCAACGACAGAAGCGGTGCTGAATCTGTGGCTGTCTCAACCTACAGTTTCATTGTAGGTTATTAGATGCTGTAAGACTAAATCAAAGCATCTCAAAAGTTATTTTTCTCAACAAAAATTATGAAGTGTAAAACTTGTAGCATGAAGATTGCATAGCAGTACAAAAAGATATTCCTTAATCACCCTTTACAGACAATGAAGAGTTGCATTTTTTCCATACGACCTGCCTGACTTTCTAGACATGTCTATTATTATAAACACAAGATAAGTTTGAAATTGGTAAAAGGGCATAAAAGTTTTGGTTTATCATTTTTCCTCCATATACTGAGTTTAGTGATAATATCATGAGCTCATTTTAAAAGTTTTATCCTACAAAACTCAAATGATTATAAGGAATTGGGGAAATGCACTTAATATGCGTGCCTAATCTTTCTAGCAAAAAGTACAGATTTTCTAATGATTCGGCTGCCAAGAAGAAACGGCCAACCACTTATAAAAATATATTAAGTTATGATTTTCGTTTCCTAAAGTTAGGACTCTTCAATTAGGGCACACTAACATTGCTTCTGCTTAAACACATTTCATATTTCTCTAACTCCTTTAGAAGGAAACCTGGCATGTCACCAATAGCCTATCAAAATTTACCAGCCCAGCTGTCAGGTATTTTTGGCCATTGGAGAAGCATCACACTTCATGAATGTGAAATATGCTTCATCTATGTTCAGGTACCTAATCATGCATTTTTTTAGTTAAAGTATCAAATAGAACATTTGACTACATTTCAAGTATCAAATACATCATTAACCTCATAACGAAGTACAAATAGGTTCACGCTTTTAATAAGGAGACAGGTCATTAGCATTGGACAAAAGATGCAACGCGTTTCATAGCTTGGAATGTTGATGATAGACAAGAAGCATAAAACAGTTGGAAAAGATGTAATTTTCATATCCTTCTTGATTTAGGCTGAACTTAAAAGGACAACTACTAGCAGACTCTTATCATGCCAATGCCTACTAAACCACATTATTTCAATATAACCATTCAACTAATCCAGACATTGCATCAACAAAAGAACAATGTAATCAATATGTTAAAATAGAAGCCAAGATTATACCGAATTTAGAAAGCTGGCAAATGGAAACTCTGCTAGTGATTCTTCCCTGGTAAGTAATTGTTTCAAAACTTTAACAGCTATATGATTACCAAAGGACCTTTCAGAAAGGCTATCTAGGAATGAAGATCCTGTAACCTCATCCAGAGCTTTACATGCTGCACTATCAGCACGGGCTTTTCTTCGTGAGCTAATCAAGACCTTAACATAGTCCAAGACCAATGCATCAAGAATTATCTTATGACAGCACTTCTTGCAAATAATACTATCCAGTGCCACTAAGTGGTTTGTAGTGAGATCAACTTGGCTACTATAACTTGATCCACCGGGATTAGATAAGCCATTGTAATTCGTCGCCTCCCTTGTATAATTTGGCAGAAGAAGGGCTCCTCTCCCAGCAGAACAAACTCGACAAGCCTTTTTCCGACATTGAAAACACAAGAAGACAGATTTTGAACCTTCTGTAGATGACAACATTGAGGAATCAGATAGAGTTGCCTTAGTCTGAGCCCGCACTTCACACTTGCCACCAGAACAGCTCTCCCCAATTCCACTAATGTTCCAGTAATCTATAACATTATCCTCAATCTTCCCAATACCAATAGAACCATTAATCTTATCCTCAAGAGCAACTTGCCCAAGCAATGCAAGGGTGCTTGCCACCCTGCATAGTCTCCCTATGTATGATTCATCAAGCAAAAAATTTGGATTTACAGTTGCTGGATCAGTTCCAATACACAATAAAGCTCTATCTCTTTCAGCTGCAGAAAGATTCAGATGAAGGCGTTCAATTTCCAGCTTCATTGCTTCAAGGTAGTTTAGCTTTCTGTCCTGCAAAATTGGATAAATCGAATGGGCGCATTCAATGTTCTATCAGGTTGGAACTTACCACCCAAAAACTTGTATATTTATCTATTGTAACTTCATGTAACTAGCAGAAATATATCTTCTCTACAGCCCATACATGCATTCAGATGATGCTATGCCCACAAAGAAAAAGAAAATCAAAAGCCAACGTGGTAAACATTTTCCAGAGAAAATAAGAACAGGCAGATAGTCACAACATTTTTCGCCTTAATCAAGACAAGACGCTGCTATCCAGATTAACATGGGAACTGAGGCCCTTAGATCATTTGCTCGTCATAGTGTTCCCAGGAACTTATTCTCAATTTTGGTATTAGAAGGGTTATACTTTGGACAAGTTTGGAGCTTTTAGCTAATTGCTAAAAAGTTGGGAAAAAGTTCAGATTAATTATAATGATTAAAAGTTACAAAATAGCAAATACACATTGAATAAAGGAGGCTTTAGAGATCTTTCCCTGTAAAAGATGCAAAAGGAGTCAAAGAACAAAATAGAAATCTCTAAATTCTCACTCCCTCAGCAGTGTAGTATAACTTGAACTAAAAGGCTATCGAGCAAATAAGAATGTACACTATAGATTAGATACCACCGATACTACCAACCCTGGATGCTCTTTCTATGACCAATTCCTATTTATCTTCTATTTGTTACATATGATGTTGAAAAAACAAAGAAGCATCTGTAAACTCATAATAATACAATAAGTAATCACCTGATCGAGAAATGTTAAACAAAAGTTAATAAAAAGTAAACAAAGACAAGGAATCATAAGTAGCATTCAGTTCAATTGACTCATGGGGAAAACAACGGGAAATTCTAGCATAAGGACCTTAAAATAAGGTAAAAAAGTTTTAAGGAAAAATTACAAACGTTGTTACAACTTTGTAACTTTTTTGTGTCATACTCAATTACACAAAATGTTATCAAATTACATAAATTGTTACAGCTGTCCAATGTTTGTGTAATTACACAAAATAATGCGCAATTCATAATATTTTGTATAATTACTCAAAAATGTTACAAAGTTGTAACAATTTATGTACTTTTCCCTTAAATTTACCTTATAAGTTCCTTATCGTAGAAATACCCAGAGAACAACTCATGGAGGATGAGAGTATTCAATGGAGGGAGTGATTCGGACTTCATTAGTTTTCCCCAAACATGTAAGATTGAAGAAACATACAAGTAACAATTAATAACATACCATTCGTAGCCCTGCCAAGAGTTTTACACAGTTTATGTACTTCTGTGTACCACTATCTTGAGGACCTCCATCCTCTGGCGCAGAGGGTTTATGATCAGTTTCAGGACCATGATAGTCCACAACAGATTGGTCCAGAAAATCAAGCAAGTCACCTCCCCCATAAGTAACATTTTCTGTAACTGGCGGAGAAACAGATTCAGAGAGAATGTCACCTCCAGTTAATAGGTCAACCAAATCATTTTCAGAATCCTGTTTTGCTGATGTTGACACAGCTTGATTGGATAGAGAAGTTCCAGAAAATGGGTTTGTGTCCAAACCGGATAAAAAAGAGTTGCTATCCTTTTGAGATTTATTTGCAAGCTCAGTTAGTCTGGCACCAGTCCCTTCATTAGCAAATACACCATTCCAGGGGAGAGAAACTCCAAGGATTTCTACCTATAAATAATTTTGATACTTATAGGAATAATTTGGCAGAACTAGAAAACCTCACTGGGTAAATAAAAATAAAATGAAGACTGAAACAAATTAAAACAGTGGGTAGGAAAGGAAATTAGAATTAATATTCAAAATTGTAAGGGCAACTGCATCTCCCCCCTGTGTTTATGAAAAGTATAAAGCTATATTATCCACAGCCATAATAACAGCTCTAATTTCCTTACAACCTCCTTCAGATCTCTCATAAAAATAATAATCATACAGAGAAAAACTAATTGCATGCAATCTCTTTCATCCTTCTACGCATCCATCACTAAACCTCTACTTCAAATAACCATTACATGACAAGTTAGCTAAGGAGGGGATAGGTTGAATGTCCTTACTGCTAGCGGTTATGTTTGGTATTTTACTTCGGGTGATGTTGTAAGTTATAGTTTTATGTAATTCGGGTTTATAAATATATTGAGGTACTCTTTTCCTCCTTCCGCTAGTTGCCTCTTCTCAAGAGGCAACTATGAGGGAGGTTTTTAATGAGACCTCCTATTCCTATCAAAAAAAAAAAAATAACCATTACATGCCCATGACACCTAGTCCAGCGAAACAAGCAAATTGTGCAACAAAAAGGCAAATTTAGAATAAAAGAAACACAGTAGATCAGGCAACACATTTCTGAAAAAGAACTGCTTATACCCTACTTTAACAGCACTAATATCTCTCCAACCACCAAAAATACAACAAGAGAGGGAGAGAGAGCAAAACTAATCACCATACAATCTCTTTCTGATGGTTCCATATTACTATCTATCAGTAAACCTCTACTTCGAATACTCAATAAAGCACATGACACTCATTTCTGCACAATATTTGTTCAATAGAGAGGCAAATTTAGATAAAAGATACATAGAATATCAAACAACAATTTCTGAGATATGCTTTTACCTCACCAAGAGTCATAGGACTTCCAGATTCAGCAGGATAAAATGTAAGTGCCACTACACGAGTGAGAAAGTCCAATTCTCCCTCTAGTTCTTCAAAATCATACAATAATGACATAGAAGAAGTAATTTGATCATGAAGGCGAGCACCAGCTCCGGTGACAGCCATGTCCTCAGTGCTAATTGGACCTGATAAAGGAATCAGAAGATTTGTCCCATTTCCACACTGGGGTATGGAAGCTCCCTGTTGATGCAATCCAAAATAGGATTAGAAGGCTACTCAAACTCAAATAAATCAACACAGATGGAAAAAAATATGCTACTCTAGGGGGAACCTTAGAGAGAGAAATTTAAGGATACGCTTGGTAGAAGGGCGAAACTAGAAGGATAGAAAGAGAAGAGTGGGTGTGCTTGGTAGGAAAGAAAAGTAAGAGTAAAGAAAGTACAAAAGCTAAATATTTTTTTACCCTGATGCATGAAAAGAAACCATTTCAAATTGGAATAATAAAAGAAATGAGTTGTGTGAGTCAAGCATGCATATTTACAAGATTATCCATCGTTTTTAAAATTTATCTTTTGATCTTAATTCATAAAGAACATCAACTTCTCAGAAGCCTAATACACTAAAGATGAGTGAGAGAGATAGGAACGTAGAGAGAGAGAAAAAATTTTGATAGAAGATGAGGCCTCGTAAAAACCCCCTTTTTTTACCCTCCATGTTATGAAAGTAACATGAAGGGCATTGAAAGGAGGAAAAGAGCGCCTATAATTATATTAAACAGAAGAATAGTACATAGCCAACCCTTACAACAAACAAAACTTCCCAAAAAGCATAAGACTTAAAAACCACTATCAGCTGGACATCGTAGTCACTAATAACATAAGACTGAGAACCAAAATCTGCAGTAATAAAGTGAAACATACACACCAACTCCCCAAATACTAAGACAGCAAATCAACCTATACCATCTTTAGCTAATCTGTCCGCTTCCCAATTAGCAGCCCTCAAGATAAGCCTTAACGTAATGTCCAACCCTTCCATAGTAGAGACTATCTCCTTCACCAATGATTGGAATAAAGGGGTGCTTAATTCCGGATTTTTGATCCACTTCAGTGCGTTGGAAGAATCTGATTCTAAAATAATCCTCTGATTACGAACCCCACCTGAATCAATAAGCAAACCCAACCCCCTCTTAATAGCCAGAAGTTCTGCCATAATCGGGGGACCTCCCCCAACATTTTCAACAAACCAATGAATCAACTTACCACTGCTGTCCCTAATCAGGCCTCCTATACCTCCTTTGTTCCACCCCTTCACCATTGCTCCATCAACATTAATCTTTATGAACCCAACTGGAGGAGGAACCCAGCACGAAGGCTTGGATCTTACTTTGTGACTGACCATTGAATCAGCAAGTGTTAGATCACCCACCAGGGAATCGAAAGGAATCTGCGAATCAAAACTAGCGGCAAACCAAGAAACTATTCTAAACCGAGCAATAAAGAACAACAACACCACATCCAACTTCCCTTTCTTAAAAATAACTTCATTCCTAATTTTCCAAACCGTCCACAAGACCGCCCTTGGAATGTATTTCCAAATAATAGAATTCGGAAGAAGCTCGTCCCACTGTGTGATGCAATCTAAAGGTTTATTAGGAATCACCCAATCAACATCCCACAAATTCAAAAATCTGACCCACAGTCCCCAAGCAACCTCACAATGCAGAAAAAGATGGGAAACAGATTCACCAAATCTGCCACACAACGGACATAAGGAATCTTCAATTCCAGCCACTCCATGCTTTAACAATTCCTCCTTAACCGCCACTCTCAGATGAACTACTTGCCATAAAAAGGTTTCAACACGGGGAGGTGCTATCCCTACCCAAACATTTCTGTCCCAAAAATCCTGATTCCCCTCAATACCATTCGAGTCAAAGAAACTCTTGATACATGAATTAGTAGAGAAGCAGCCCTCTCCATTCCCAAATCAAATCCAACAATCTTCCTCATCATGCGACAAAGAGGTGTTATTCAGCAAAGAAATCAGATGCAACCATTGGTCAACCTCCCAATCCACCAGATTTCTTCTGAATTGAATATCCCACACCCAGCCCGCAGCATGACTCTCCCTAAATTCCACTACTTTCCCCTCTTTATTCGTCGAAAGAGTGTACAATCTAGGGAACAAATCTTTGAGGGGGACTTCTCCCAACCAAGCATCATTCCAAAATACCACAGAATGGCCATTTCCAGTTTTCCACCTCAAATTACTCCTAATGCAGACACCAAATCCATCATTGGAAAAGAAGTTATTGATCACTCCTCTCCAAATCCAAGAAGCACGAGCAGTCAAAGAACTCTCAACCTTTTTGGAGTTCGGGTCCAAATTATTAACACAACAGACTACTCTCTTCCACCAAGAATCCTTTTCAGAGGCAAACTTCCAAACCCATTTACCCAACAATGCTCTATTCAGAATAGCTAAGTTCGGGATCCCTAGGCCCCCCAACCTTCTCGGCTTGCTGACCAAACCCCAATTCACCCAATGTATGTTTCTTTTATCATTCGACCCCCCCCCCCATAAAAATGCAGTCATTATAGAATTTAATTTCTGCAGCACCGAAACTGGAATTCGAAATAAAGAAAGGAAATAAGTGGGAAGAGAGCACAAAACAGATTTGATCAACACCACCCTCCCTGCTAATGCTAGAGAATTCACCTTCCAGCCCGACAACCTATTATAAAAATTCTGCACTATTGGCTCCCACATTGCAACAGAATTTCTCCTAGACCCCAGAGGCAGGCCTAAATAATCTGCTGGAAACTTACCCACTGAACAACCAATTTCCTTAGACCAGTCAACAAGCACATCCTCCTCAATATTGATTCTGTAAATTTTGCTCTTGACTAGATTAATCTTCAACCCCACCAATAGCTCGTAAATCAAAAGCACCCTTCTAACATTCTTCAAATCCCGAATTGAAGCCTTTGAAAAGATAATAAGATCATCCGCAAATTGTAGGTGCGAGAGCTTGAATAAACGATCTTGAGCTCCCAATTCAAAACCCGAAAACAATCCCAAATCCACTGCTTTAGTTAACATCAAATGAAGCAATTCACCACCCAAATTAAACAACAAGGGTGATAACTAACATCCCTGTCTAAGACCTCTTTTTGTATGATTTTTCTCAGTAGGAGTCCCATTCAGTAAAACAGAAACTGAAGCAGTTGGCATACACTGAAACATCCAAGAACGCCATTTTTCGCCAAACCCCATTTTACCCAAAATTTTCAACAAAATCAACCAATCAACTGAATCATATGCTCTCTTGAAATACACCTTAAAAACCACCCCCTTCAACCCTTTCTTCCTCCAGAAGTCGATTCCTTCATTCGCTATGAAGGAACAGTCCAGAATGCTCCTCCCTCGGATAAAAGCAAATTGGGACGGACTAATAATGTCATTAATGCATAAACTGAACCTCCTAGCCAAGACCTTTGACAAAATTTTGTATAGCCCTCCCACAAGGCTAATTGGCCTAAAATCCCCCATCCCCTCCGGGTTAATCTTCTTAGGAATAAGAGAAATAAAGGAATGGTTCACCTCCAGATCCCACTCCTTCCCCTCGAAAAAGTCCTTAAAAAACAGCATAATATCCTCTTTCAAACTAGACCAGAATTTCTTGAAAAAGCCTAAATTCAAGCCATCCGGGCCAGGAGCTTTGTTGCTATCCGAATCAGCAATTGCTCTCCAAACTTCTTCTTCCGAAAATGGCTTTTCAAGTGCTAACCTCTGCTCTTCCGATAATTTTAAAAATTCCAGATTTATATCCTCAGCCTCCAAAGAATTTTCCTGAGAAAACAGACCATTGAAAAACTCCACTACAGAATTTCTAATTGAGGTAGGATCTTCTATGACTTCATTCCCCACCAAAAGGGACTTAATGCCATTGTTTCTCCCTCTAACTGAAGCAGTTTGGTGGAAGAATATGGTGTTCTTATCACCCTCCAATCTCCATTTCAGTCTCGATTTTTGCAACCAAATCGATTCTTCTTTCTTTTGGAGGTCCCATAAATCCCTCTTTGCTTCAATTATTGACCTCATTGTCACCGAGGAAAGGCCTTGTTGCATATCCAACTCCATTTCGTGAATTCTTTTCTCCAACTTTTTAATTTTTCCAAGCAATTCTAAGTAACCCCTCCCAGACCATCTCATTACCACGCCCTTCACCCTCTTAAACACCATAGACATGGACTTCCCCTTTTCCTCTTCGATAATCTAAGTAGAAGAGTGTCTCGACGAGAGTTAAGGGAGTTGTTCTCAACTCAGGGTGTTCATTCCTAAAGAAACAAGGAATCCGAAATACAAATTCTCCACTTTCGCCTTTGTTCATTTTGGTAACGAGGAAAGTCTAAAACGGGCTATTAACAAGCTGAATGGTTCATTGATGGATGGTCGGAGAATTACAGTTGGTGTTGCACGATTCAAGGATGCTCGTATGAGGTCAGCAGGGCAGAATAGTTCACTGGAGATGACTTTAAAGCAGGTCTCAGTTGATACTTCAAGGTCAAAAGAGAAAGTTGATATTAATAGGAGTTTTAAGGATGAAAGATGTTACAAGGATGCCTTACTGTCTAATAGATTGAAGAGTAATGTATCGGACCAAAGGGAAATGGCATATGAAGGTTTCAACAGAAGGAATGGCATAAAAAATATGTGGGAAATGCATATTCCTTCAGAGAGCTCCAGTTGGGTGAAGAGGTCATTAACGGGGATTGTTAAACATTCTTTTGAGTTAGAATTAGTCCAGAAGTCTCTAGTTAATGAAGGTCTTGAAGTTCAGATTGTCAGATGGGGTTACGTTTGGAATTCATGTGTTGTAACCTTTAAGTCGGATGAGGAAATGTTGGATGCATGGTCGACGAAAAAAGATGAATTACTTTTCTGGTTCAATAGGTTGGCACCTTTATTGAATGATGATGGCATTCCAATGGCTTTTTGCCTCATAGAACTATCTGGGGTTCCACTATTATGCTGGCAAAACACCTTCTTGGAACGTTTAGCAGGAAGGTGGGGAATGGTGGAAGATATCCATGAAGATACAAAAAACAGAGAAGACCTCTCCATGGCGAAGATTTTGATCAGGGTGGCGAGCCCATATGATGTCCCTGAGGTGTTAAAACTTGGAGCTTATGGAAGATCTTATACAGTGAAGATTAAGCGGGGTTCGGTGCTTG